TTGGCGGCGATGGCCTTAGCCATAATATAATTGATGGCCTTAGCCATGTAGGCGACTTCGACTGTCGTCGAGTCGTTTACTCACCGTAGTCGAATCTAGGTCGACCGTTGGCGGCGATGGCCTTAGCCATAATATAATTGATGGCCTTAGCCATGTAGGCGACTTCGACTGTCGTCGAGTCGTTTACTCACCGTAGTCGAATCTAGGTCGACCGTTGGCGGCGATGGCCTTAGCCATAATATAATTGATGGCCTTAGCCATGTAGGCGACTTCGACTGTCGTCGAGTCGTTTACTCACCGTAGTCGAATCTAGGTCGACCGTTGGCGGCGATGGCCTTAGCCATAATATAATTGATGGCCTTAGCCATGTAGGCGACTTCGACTGTCGTCGAGTCGTTTACTCACCGTAGTCGAATCTAGGTCGACCGTTGGCGGCGATGGCCTTAGCCATAATATAATTGATGGCCTTAGCCATGTAGGCGACTTCGACTGTCGTCGAGTCGTTTACTCACCGTAGTCGAATCTAGGTCGACCGTTGGCGGCGATGGCCTTAGCCATAATATAATTGATGGCCTTAGCCATGTAGGCGACTTCGACTGTCGTCGAGTCATTTACTCAACGTAGTCGAATCTAGGTCGACCGTTGGCGGCGATGGCCTTAGCCATAATATAATTGGTGGCCTTGCTTTTTCAACTCGGTGCGGGCGAGTCTTAGCCGTTATTTGGCGATAGCGGCGCTTAGCCTTAGTCCCAGTTCGGACGCGGTCGAACTACCGGTCGTGATGGTAAAAAATGCGGCCTCGTAGTTTGACCGGGGCCGAACTTTACGTGGCCCGAATCTTAATTCGAGTTGGGAGTACTTACTTGAATGGCGAGGGTGCCTATCCTGCGCTTCGATTCGTTGGGGGTCGGGATTTGCTTTCACAGATGAAGGCGTTTGGCCTGAGTCTCGGTTCAACTGTGGTTGAACTTGCTAAAGTTGAGGACGAAGGCGTCCATCCTTGTAGTTCGAGCGAGGTCGAGCTCGTTGGATTTAATGGCGAAGGCACATAGCTTGAGTCTTGGTTCAACCGTGGTTGGACTTATTGGCGAAGGCACGTAGCCGGAGTTCCAGTTCGACTGTTGTTGGACTTTGTTAAATTTGATGGCGAAGGCACATAGCTTGAGTCCCGGTTCAACCGTAGTTGAACTTTTTTGGTGAAGGCGCATAGCCTGAGTCTCGGTTCAACCGTAGTTGAACTTTTTTTGGTGAAGGCGCATAGCCTGAGTCTCGATTCAACCGTAGTTGAACTTTTTTGGTGAAGGCGCATAGCCTGTCTTGGTTCAACCGTAGTTGAACTTGTTGGCGAAGGTGCATAGCCTGTCTTGGTTCAACCGTAGTTGAACTGTTTGGTGAAGGCGCATAGCCTGTCTTGGTTCAACCGTAGTTGAACTGTTTGGTGAAGGCGCATAGCCTGTCTTGGTTCAACCGTAGTTGAACTTTTTGGCGAAGACGGGTAGCCTGAGTCCCGGTTCAACTGTAGTTGAACTTTTTTGGTGAAGGCGCATAGCCTGTCTTGGTTCAACCGTAGTTGAACTTGTTGGCGAAGGCGCATAGCCTGTCTTGGTTCAACCGTAGTTGAACTTGTTGGCGAAGGTGCATAGCCTGTCTTGGTTCAACCGTAGTTGAACTGTTTGGTGAAGGCGCATAGCCTGTCTTGGTTCAACCGTAGTTGAACTTTTTGGCGAAGGCGGGTAGCCTGAGTCCCGGTTCAACCGTAGTTGAACTTTTTTGGTGAAGGCGCATAGCCTGTCTTGGTTCAACCGTAGTTGAACTTTTTTGGTGAAGGCGCATAGCCTGTCTTGGTTCAACCGTAGTTGAACTTGTTGGCGAAGGCGCATAGCCTGTCTTGGTTCGTGGGTTTTTGGGAGCTGAAGCTCGGTTTTGATTCGAGATCTTGAGCAGCTTAATCGTTATCTTCCCAACCGGGGTATGTAGGCTGTCTCGAAGCGATTCTCGATTCGAGATTCCTCCGTGCTGGTTTCCGGCTGGAGCCCTTATCAGGGATGTGGGAGATCTCTTACGAAGATTCTCCCCAAAAGAGGGGGGGGCTTCTTCTTTTTGTTTGCACCATCCGATAGATGAGAGACAGAGGAACTGGATCTCGATTCGAGATCTTCGAGTTCCATCGGCCTGATATGCCGCTTTGGCTTGTTTAAGCTGGGTTGTTCTTCCTTTTCCGGCGTTTCTTTCCTTTTGGTCCATGGAAGAACTACGCGATTTTGCTATGAAATCCCCACAGACGGCGCCAAATTGTTTGCTCAAAAGTTATCGTGTGCTTTATGAGTGCAAAACAATACGAATAAGTTACGAGAAAATCATAGCAAATCGTAATAATCCATTGGACCAAGCGAAGAACATGAAAATAAGTACTCAAGATTAGGAGAAGAAATCTTAACAGCTTTTATTGACAATATTGGTTTGGTCTGCCTCTCCATGAAGAGGTTCTGAGCCTTACAATGGTGTTTTCTCTTCCCATAAGATGGGTATATTTTTCTCTTCTCTCTCTCTTTTGTGGATAGTGGTGAAGAAGCAGCCCCCCTTTCTAGGGCTTCCGCTCTTAGTATTTATAGATGTGAGCTTCGTGAGCTGGCAATAAATGGCCGTGGCCATGCTGAGGTTCCGTCCCCATGGGGGAATGAATGGGCCGTGCCCTCGTAGATTAAATCGGACAAGAGTCGAATCCTGTTATGAACAAGTGGCCGTACCACTTATTAATTATGGATTAGCTCAAGACAAGATTAACTCTGTTAATTACCGTGAGATCGGATTCTGACCCATACAGGAACTAATGTACTCTGAATGTTAAAAATGCAAAGATTGGGAAACCAAATCAATAAATACATCCTACCCACTAGTGGGAACACGTTGGGCTGTTGTTGTGGTATTATAATTAGAAATATATAGAAGATGAAGTAATCTTTGTAGCACCAAGTGGTCGTGCCGGAGTGGTTATCGGGCATGACTAGAAATCATGTGGGCTTTGCCCGCGCAGGTTCGAATCCTGCCGACCACGTTTTGCTGCTTTATTACATACTTTTCACGTGGTATTTTGACTTGCATTTACAGATTCTATTGGAGAAGTTTTAAATGGTACATATATTCTTATTTCAAAAAAATTGGCTCATATATGTTCCAAAAATTTTAGCACATAAATATGCTACATCTAAGTATATTAACAGAACTTTTGTAAGCTTATTTAGGGAGTTAACATTTTTTTTAAATATTTGGTTAATGATCTTATGTCATTCGGACTGTTTCTTTATAAGAGCTTGTTGAACAAAAAAAAGTTGAAAGATATGATATAGGATTGTTAGGACTAATTGGTGGTTTTGCCGGACAATGTAAAACTTGTTTTCTTCTTGTGTTTGTGTGCCAGAAAATCAAAAAGTATTTTTTATTGGAAACCACTAGCTATCTCCATTTATAGGGGGCTTTTGCATATATACCAGGTTTTGGGGTCACAATTGAACCTATACCCACTTTGCAAAAAAGTTTGCAAGAGTACCCACTTTAGCCTGAAGTGAAAAAACTGCACTTCAAATGCACTTAAGGCCAAATAGGTCTGAAGTGCAACCAATGATTTCATGCACTTAAGGCTAATAAGTCTGAAGTGAAAAATTGCACTTCAGATGCACTTAAGGCCAATAAGTTTGAAGTGAAAAATTGCACTTCAAATGTACTTAAGGCCAAAAAGTCTGAAGTGCAACAAACGTTTTCATTCACTTAAGGCCAATAAGTCTGAAGTGAAATTTGCACTTCACATACACTTAAGGCCAAGTTGGTCTGAAGTGTAACCAATAGTTTCATGCACTTAAGGCCAATAAGTCTGAAGTGAAAAATTACACTTCAGATGCACTTAAGGCCAAAAGGTCTGAAGTGCAACAAACGTTTTGCATAACTTAAGGCCAATAAGTTTGAAGTAAAAAGTTGTACTTCAGATGCACTTAAGGCCAAAAAGTCTGAAGTGCAACAAACGTTTTCATTCACTTAAGGCCAATAAGCCTAAAGAGAAAATTGCCCAGAAACCAAAATTTGTTCTTCGATTATAACAATCCAATATACGATTTACTACCTAAATCTACTCCAAATGAGCTCAAATTTGAAACATAGCCTCCAAATATCATCAGGAACAAACCTCAATCTTCAATTTGTCAAAACAACATTAAATCTAATGAACCCATTTTGCAATTAAGCAAAAAAAAAAAAAAAAAAGAAACCCTAAGCAATAGTAAAAAATAAAACGCCATAATAGCTCACCATTGTAAAACATCATAAACTACACTAAAATATATTCACAACCACCATATAAAACCATTGTCACCCGAAGAAGAAGAAGAAAAAGAAGAAGAAGAAGGAGAAGGAGAAGGAGAAGGAGAAGGAGAAGAAGGAGGAGGAGAAGCAGAAGGAGAAGAAGAAGAAGAAGAAGGAGGAGGAGGAGGAGAAGGAGGAGGAGGAGAAAGATGCCTGAAGTTGTTTAAAAAGTGGGTACTTTTTAAAAAGTGGGTATAGGTTAAATGGGGGCGACCAAATAGGGCGCCCGTGCAGTTTTTACATTTATAGGTAGTTTATTACAAAAATTGTTCAATTCATGAAATATTGCTAATATTAGCCAAAGGTTAGCAATATTAGCCAATTAGATATTTATAGCCAAAAAATATCAAATTTTTGCTTTCTTTTGAGTGGGTGTTATGAGAATAGACCGGGTACATCTTAAGGAGTTTGAATCTCAATTTTGAGATGATTTGGTGGAGTTTTTAGGTGGTTTGAATTGAAAATTTGAAGTATCACACTATGTATCATTTATGTATCACATATGTATCATATTTGCATCAAATGTGTATCACGTGTATAACCATGTATACCTCTGTGTGTGATACATGCGTGATACATGTGTTGCAGAAGAATTTTTTGAACTCGATTTTAACTATGAATTTTGATACAAATCATTCCAAGCCACCTCCAATCTTCCTCAAATTTTGTATATTGACTAATCTATATGTTTTCAATGAATTTCAACCATACCCATTGAAAAAGGTCTTTTTCTTCAACAAGCTTTTAGCTTCTTTATGTAGGAACCCAAAGTAGTTTGCTCACAGCAGCCTAATTCCATATTCTTTAGTTGAGAGTACTCTGTCCTCCAGCACTCTTTTAGGCAAAGAGACCTTCTCCCATGCAACTAGGGCCCTTCTAGATATATTAGTCTCACTCGTCCACAAGTAGCTTCTACAAATTGCTTCGATTAACTTAATAACCTTTTGAGGGAGTAGGAATAATTGTGACCAATATGACTGCATTCCAAATAGCACAGCTCTAATTAGCTGCAGTCTTCCCGCATATGACATCCTAGCTATCCCACAAAGTAATCCTGGCAGTGATTTCATCCACTAAGGGTCTACATTGCGTAGCAGTCAGTCTTTTAGTTGATAGAGGAACCCCCAAAAATATAACTGGCAGTTTTCCCAATTCATATCCAAATAGATATAGAATACTCTCTTTTGTATCCCTATCCACCCCTCCAAAATAAACTTGACTCTTTGCTTTCAGTCCAGAAGCCTCAGAAAACAGTAGAAACCTATCTCTCAAAAGTTGTACAGACTTATAGTCCCCTCTTGCAAACATTAGCAAGTTCTCCGCAAAACAAAAGTGAGTAGTTCTCAGCTTTTGGCATCTAGGATGAAAGTTAAACACAAGTGAGTGCCCAAACGCCTATTCGGATATTCCATCAGCAAAACAAAGATATAAGGGGACATATGGTCCCCTTGTCTAAGCCCCTTTTTATCTCTCATAGTATCAGACAACCCACCATTGATCATAAAGGTATAGCTGACTGAGTTGATACATGTCATGACCAAGTCACAGGCTTTCTGCAAATCTACCTTTATCATAATTCATACATCTTAGAGATATATTCTTCCTAGTATATCCTTTAACCAACTCATGGCTTAGAACAGTATTATTTGAAATAACTCTACCAGGGATAAACGCGGACTGGCTATCACCCACTATCCCATCAATCACACCCTTACTTCTTTCTGAGATAACTTTAGATACTATCTTGTATAATATGGAGCAGCAAGCAATTGGTCTAAAGTCGGTCACATTTTCTGGATCTGTAGTCTTTGGAACCAGAGTAACTACAGTGTTGTTCACAGGTCTTGCATTTTGTTCTCGTTAAAGAATTCCTGCACTGCATTGCAAATATCCTCTTTGACAATCTCCCAGGCTTTCTTGAAAAAAAGTGCATTAAAACCACCAATCCCTGGTGCCATATTGTCATCAATAACAAACAAAACATTTTTAATCTCCTCGTACGAGACCTCACAACATATATCCCTTTTCTGCTGTATTGTAAGACTAGGTGGCTGCCTCATGATGCTCAAGTATAACCTTTCTGCAGAAGAACCTAAGAGCCCTTTGTAGAATTGAAGTATTTTATCTGCAGCACTCTACCAGCATATCCTAAGATAGAAATATTGGTTGAGCTAGCTCTAGCTTTCATACAAGCAAAGAAATATTTGTTGTTCCCATGCCCAACATTAATCCACTGAAATTTTGTTATCTTCCCCAGTTTCGAGAGATTTTATTTCTGACATTGCATAGGGGCCGATTCTCGTTCTGATCGGTGCTGGATGGCCAATAGAAGCTTGATCAGCTGCATTTCTGGCCTTGTTCCAGCTATACGTTGAAGCTTAACTGCCATGAGGTGATTCAATGTCACATCTGAGAAGCTTGCAGGAGTTTGATCAACATAATCCCTGGTTGCTGGATTAAGCAATTTATCTGATTCACCAGGCGGAAAACGTTGAGACACTTGAGAAAGATAAAGAAAAATCTTGAAGTTTAAATTGAAAATCTTTTGAAATATGAAAATCTATGTTGCGCTGACTCTCCAAAATGATGCCGCACCCGTGTCGGATCCTCAAAAAATGCACTACTTTTGGATGATCCGACACACATCCGGCAACATTTTCGGAGAGTCCGAGCAACATAGATGAAAACAATAAAGCAATTAAATCAGAATAACATCAAAAAAAGGAGTGAGAAAAACTTAATTAAGAACCTCGATTTTCAATATCTTATAAATATGGGGAGCTTCTTATCAAGCAAAGAGCACCTCGAAGCTCATGTAATTCATCCAGGCACACTAAATTCATGTACAGATGTTCAAGACAGTTCAGAGCAGAGGAAAGCCTTCTTGGTACTTGACCTGCTTCTACAATAAAAAAATCAGGATGAATCATAAGCCCAAAATGCATTACAATGATGTTGTGAAACAACAGTTACCCGAAACATACAGTATTTCCAGTGGAGATTCTCAAGAGCAGGAACATACTCAAAAAGCTTGGCAAGCACGTGATTTCCTGCCTAACCAGAAGATGGTGTGAAGTGAAAAGAAACTTTTGCAAGAAGAGGAACATTTTTTAGATGAAGTGTATGTACATTGTCTGAGAAAACAAATGACCTCAGCCAGGGAGCATCAATTTCAATGTGGTTTGAACTTGTTGAGTCCCACATCGACAATGAAGGGGATGGGTGGTTTCCTTATATGGACTAGGGCAATCCTCACCTCCTCACCTCTTGAGCTAGCTTTTGGGGTTGAGTTAGGGTTAAGGTCCATTTAACATGGTATCAGAGCAGGACCCATCCCGATTTTCCGATGTAGGGCCCCTATAATTGTCCACGCTCCAGATGTCCAGTCCCGGATGTGAGAGGGGGTGTTGAGTCCCACATCGACAATGAAGGGGATGGGTGGTCTCCTTATATGGACTTGGGCAATCCTCACCTCTTGAGCTAGCTTTTGGGGTTGAGTTAGGCCCAAGGTTCATTTAACAAAATGGTTGTTCCAGCACCAAATGCTCGAGCAACGGACAATGGGAGATTAAACTTCCAAGAAATTCAAAGGAAATTGTGACTTAGTTCCAGGCTGATTAAACTATCAAATCCCTTGAAGATAGGTGGAGGATGTATGAAACATCTTTGAAGAGTCAAATGCCTCAACTGCAAACATGTGAAAAATGAAGAAGGCAATTCGTACGAGATACAATTCGTAGATGGAGAGGATAAAATTTGTAATGGGTCCATTGAAACAGGCAGAAGAATAAATATCAAGAGTAAAGAAGGCAGAAGGATAAAAACTTTATATAAGCATTCCCGTGAAAGGCTTCTCCTCAATTTCTACACTTGAGAAGAATGCTACATTGTGAGGCTCAGCGATCCTGGTTGTTTTATATTCAGGTAGGCAAAGTTCTTCATTTTGTCCTAGTTCTTGCGGGAATTACTCTGGGCCAAAACGAATAAAGAGAACCAAAGAAAATAAAAAATAAGGTTCTGTGCCGATTTGCAACAAATTCAGTTTCCATGAAAATTTGCAAAATGAAAACTGAAAACTGCCCCTCCGATTCCTATTAGCTGTCTTTTAAGGTTTTTGCACATCCGTTAAGAAAGACATCTAATTTCTGAGCATTTGTCTTAAGAGTAATAAACAATTCTTGATTTTTTTGAAAATTCAAATATCTTGGAACAAATTCAGGTTGCCGAAAACGTCAAAAAATCTGAACTGGAGCTAGTAGAAACAAACAAGACAGGTTGACTACTTAGATAAGAAAGGATTTTACCTTTTGAAAGGCAAATGATACCAGCATTTTCTGCTTCCTCTTCAGTCATGTATGCTCCACGACTTTTGAACAATTCACCAGCCACTGCCACTGTTGCCTCGAAATTAAGATCATGATGCTCTTCCTTTTACTTGGAACACAGGTTCACCAAGTTTTTTTCCTTTTTGTGAACATCTTCAGTTTCATCTTGTACTGATAGTGTGAATAAGCAGCCTATTTAGAGTATCTTCTTCAGAAAAAAATCACCAAGTACAACCTCTTGGTTAAAGTGGCAACTGGAAGTCTCATATTTCTAGATGTACTTCAACTAGTTTACTTGGAAGACACAAAAAAAAAAATGGTGCAACTAGAGATAGATAGTAGTAAAAGCTTTCCAGGCACAAAAGAAGACACTACAACAGAATGATAAAGAAAATTCCATAAATGACAAAGCAGTAATGCTGTCCACAAAATAATGAAAACTATTGGAAAGAAAGAACCAATTTTATACATGTAAAGTAGCTTATGAATCTTTCAGTCCCCTCCTTGCAATACCACTGGACATCATGTTAATCTTTCAGAAATGTGGGGAAACACATTCCTTAAACTCGTCTAATTCATATTCTTATCCTTTTTTTCGTCATGTTCTTTGAGTGAAGGGTGCACGAATTTTAGAAGCTAGTTTAGTGGGGAAATGCATAGGCTACCTAAGATAGAAATTCTGATGTAGGAAGAAACTTCTGAATAAGCAGCTAAGCACAATAGACGTTGATAGAGATTTTTTTTTTTTTTGAAGACTTTGACAGATAATTTCATTTGACTAGAGTAAATATCAACCTGAGTAGTGTCTTGAACACGACAAATGGTTATCCTGAATGAATGTAAAGCCCAATTCAAGTAGAAAGCCTCCTCAGTCTTCCTACGAGCAAACCCTCTCTTAAAGCAGCTTCAGTAGTCAACGTTAAAGCTAGCCTTTTCAAGATCTTCAACCTCATCCTTAATAGCCAGAGCAATTTGATAGCAAGTCTAAAATCTATAAAGCAACAAAACATCAGTCAACGTAGGTGTCTAGCTCTTCCTGGAGTTTGACTACTTTGCTGATTTCCTCTGTGATATACTTGACATATCATTCCTCCGAGATCCTTCAATGGTCAGAGAGATAAAAATTAATATGCAGGCATAAAGCCATAAGCCATAACAACATTAAAAGAAATAACTGCACTAGTAGATATGTAGCAAACTTGTTAGCCTTGTATTCTTGTCGAAATTTTCTTAGCTCTAAAATCTGTGAAGAGTATGGCCCATTTTGCTGAGCCCATTCATGACTGTCAAATACATGACTTCATTAGGCTCACAAATATTCTCTCTCACCAACTTTTTGAACAAGTTAACCGCATCTTTTATCTTATTTTCCGCAAAGAGTCCCCTTAGTAAGGTGCTAAAGGTAATAACATCAAATGGAATGCCACTCTTCAAGTAAATGGCCAACACTGAAATTCCGCCATCAGAACAATGCATTAGGCAATAACTGTTAATAGCTATATTCAAGATGGAATCACTAATTGGGATGCGTAATTTCAGCATTTCTTGAAAAAGGGAAAGAACAGCAGAGTAATGCTTCATATTTACCATAGTCTTCAATAATTTCGAGAAGCTAAAAACAGAGGGAAGAGGCTGAGCTCTGACCATTCGACGGAAAAGACTCACAGCATCATCTAAGCACTTGACGTTCTCAAATTTATCCTTTGCCGAAGAAATCGATGTGTTGCTCTGAGAAGAAAAATAATCTCTGATTGTAATTGCCGAACCAGAACGTGAAATAGCAAAGCATGAGAAACCATTGCAAGAGTAACGCAACAGAGAAATTCTCGCCATCTTCAATGGTTAAGGAATCTCTTCAACTTCTTTCGACAATTTGGATTTGAATAGTGAGAGTGCTGCTCTCTCTTTATGTGCCCTAGTTTTTGCACTATAAATACTTCTCTTTTGTTGCAAACACAAGTAGTACATATTTGAGTTCATACATAATAACACTAAACACCATTGCTAATTACAACTAGTAAATCCACAACACCAAAATAATAGTTAAAAAAAAGACACAAATATTGGAATGTTAAAATGTAGAACCAAGCAAAAGTCTCAAAACCTCTTAATTTATAAAAGATCCAAAATTTTAATAAGCTTAATTCACCAAAACGATTTTTTGAAGAAAACCCAAATTTGTAAAAATAGGGATTTTTATATTCCTATACCACATATGAAACCTTATTACCCTCAATGTTTAAGGTTTGATTTAATTACAAACCCGTATACCAAATTACCAATATTATACCATACTTAATTAAGGGTCTAATTAATGGGCTGTTTTTACTCCTTAATTAAAGGTATCCATATCTAATTAATGGGCAGTTTTTACTCCTTAATTAAAGGTATCCATATATCTCACGTTTCTCTCTCCTTACCCCTCACCCCCCTCACCCACGTTTTTACCCATACCCCACATTCTTTTTACCATTTTTCCTCTTCTGTAACCAAACAAAATTCCCTCTTTCTGGAAAATGATTTGTTTGAATTCCGTTTCGACGTCACCTGGTCGAAAGGTTACAGGCATCACCATCGTGGCCATCAAGATTGCAGGCATCACCATCGTGGCCATCAAGTGTCATAAAACAGCATGGACGCTATGTTAGTGTCGATCCAATTAATGGAAAAAGACGTGATAATAAATCACTTCTAAACTTCTTCTCATATTTCTTGATTGGAATGTTATGAATTGCTATTTTGGCAGCTTTTATTTGTAGTTTTTTGTACAAATTTTGTAGATGAAGAGCCAATTGTAGAAATGTGACATCCACAATTAATCTGCAAATTGTCTGCAAAATTTTAAAAACTACAAATTAACTACATTTAACCTACATTATAATCACAATCTGGAAACAATTTACACATGGAAGTTCTTCAAGTTGGAATTGGCCACAACTACATTTCTTGTTTTCTAGACACACAATGTACCGCTTCACACCATCCAACACAGTATGTATATGATCTGTTGAAGCCCTCACCTACATTTTCACAACAAACACAAAGAAAAAAAATTTACAATATTAAAAATATAGTATCTACAATATATCTACATTTTATCTATAATTTATCTACAAATTAACTACAAACTATAAGTAAACTACAATTTGCCTACAATTTATCTACAATCTGGAGACACTGTATATTAAAATATTTTTTTCATGCACCAAATAAAGAAATTGTAGTCAAATTGTAGATATATGTAGTAAATTTGTAGATAATATCATAAAACTAAGAAGACCTATTGCTGTTATTTTTTTCTTCTCATTTTTGTTATTCTTTACAAGCTTTAAGTTATTGTCATTGACTTCATTTTGATCTTAGCCTTGAAGATGTTGAAGGGGTTGATCAGTTGCGGTGGTGGATCAGGATCCTCAAACACCCCTAATCCTGCTGCAACGGAACTTGGTGAAGTCTCTCAAACCTCCCGTGATAGAAGAAACGACGAAGAACAGATTTTTTCAACTTTGAGTTGTTGAAACTCGAAAATTTGAATTGTTCGTTCTTTTTTTTTTCGAGAATTTGAATTGTAGTTCTGGAGAAAAATACGCAGATGAGAAATCTCCTTTCCCTTTTTAAAATTGAATTTAATGTAGAATCAGTTAACACCAAGATTCTCTCCTTAATTTTAGGGAATATTCTGTCCTTTTAATGCCTAATAGTCGAATGGTACAAAATTTGTAGGCAAAACGTGGACTGGGCGGGTAATTAACAAACAATGCACATTTTTGGTAATAAGGTTTCATATATGGTATAGTTAGGAAAAAATCCCTAAAAAATATTATCCTTTAAATCATTCAACCCTAGAAATTGCTTATTTTGAAGTTAGCTTGTTTAGCTATGCTACCAAAAATTGCTTATTTTAAGAAGTTTTTTTTGTAAAACTAGCTTTTTAGAGAAGTACTTTTGTTTGGTCAATTCATTAGAGAAATATTAAATGTTTTAGTATTCGATAAACAAATTATTTTTGGCCAATCTCTTAAAAGAATTACTTTTGAGTGTTAAATAATGAAAAAGGACAAGGTTCATTCTACAATTAAAAATCTTTTATAAGAAATGATTTTAAATATTCATTATGAAAGACAATAGTGAAATTTCTATATTTAGTAACTAATATATATATATATATATATATATATATATATATATATATATATATATATATATATATATATATATATATATATATATATATATACATACATACTTATACTTTTGAGTATTAGAGTTTATAATCGAAAGAAAAAAGGAGAAGAAAAGAGACGATTGAAACTGAAGAGAAAAATAAGAAAAAGTGTTTTATTTATAACTTAAGATGAATGAGACTAATTAATAATGATAGATTGATAAATACAAATTTATAGTAGGGATACTTTTGTTTTTAAAAAAATAAATTTCTGTTTATGTTCAAAAGCGCTTCTGGTTGTTAGCCAAACTTTGTGCAATATTTATTCTATCTTGTTAAACTGTACACAAATTCTACTGGATTGGCATTTGTTGTTGTTAATACGTTCACAAATCTTACCAGATTGACATGACTTTGTGCTAACTGATTCACCCTATCTCGTTAAATTGTTCACAGGTCCTACCAGATTGGCATAATTTATCTATGTTAACCAACAAGGTATTCTTCGCATTTACAATTCTATCAAACCATGTCAAATCTACTCCAAGACATCTACAACATGTCGCGTGATTAAGAAGAACTGGTAGATTAATAAGAATATAACAATAATCCCACGGTTGAACAGTTAATTTGAAGACTATCTACTGGTGATTATTGTTTTGTTGGATTCCTAATCCAAAATTATATGCAATCTCATTATGCAGTACAAGTGTGGAAACCATAACCTGAAGTAAATCTGCTCTATCGAAACATGTATAGATTGTCTTAGATGGTACCGCTAATGTGTTTCGCCAAATGAGAGAGAGATAGAAGTAAAGTTCGACTAGACTAGAATAACAGTAGGAACAGGACGAATGTCTACGCCCGAAATAATATTAAACAGAACAAAAGCAGTAACTTAAGGGGCAGAAGGATCATATTAGTAATACCACTTAACTTCCATTAACACTTTTTATGTTTCAGAAAATCACAAGGTTCCTTTGTTCATACACGCAGCTTCTTTCCACGTTGTATTTCACCATCCTCAAGCATTTCACATTCTCTTTCTCCTTCTTCTTTCTGGTGAGTATTTTGTTAATCTTATGCAGCCCATTGGTAAGTTTCTTCTTTTTGTTTTGTTTCCTGGTCTTCCTACCATCCTGTATTTTCACTCCAAACTGGACTGCAGCTTTTGGCATTGCTTCCTTCTGCTCATTGTACGTTGCCCACTCCTCCTCTGTTTCAAAGTCCCATCGATGAAGCCGACCCTTTGCCTGCAGAAAAAATAATCTTTTATCAAATACTATCCATCATAACAGAGGATTCTGACTGACAACACCATGTTAAGTTGTAGTTGATTTCTCTCACAAGTGTTATTATTGACCAAGCAGATACAACTAAGAAGTGCCAAAAAATTTCAGGCTTGTGGGGCGATAAATTCTTTCCCTTTACACTGATCAATAACCTGAAGTAAATCTGCTCTATCATAACATGTATAGATTATCTTATATGGTATAGCTAACGTGTTTCGCCAAACGAGAGAGATAGAAGTAAAGTTGGACTGGATTAGAATAACAGTAGGAACAGGACGAATGTCCACGCCCAAAGTCATATTAAACAGGACGAATGTGAGGCTCAGCGATCCTAGTTGTTTTACAACATCCCTATGTTAGCTGCCTTTTAAGGTTTTTGCACATACCCCTTAAGGATGAATTAACGACTAATTGGAACAACAAGGATGAATATGGAAAAGAGAAATAAATACTTCTTGTTTTTTTCTGTTTTCCGAAACATCAAATATTTGGAACTAATTCCGTTTGCCGTTCACAAGATATATTGTCCTGGTTTCTGGAAGTATCATAGATGGAACATAAAGTACAAAAAGCAGTAATAGCAGCAGAAAGCTCTTGCAAGCTGTCACAAACCCCTCCAGATACTAAATATTAGAATAAAAAATAAATTCCTCCAAAAACTACTGGTTATCTTTTTGTTAACAGGCCACCACCGAATTCAAGCTACGTATATCCCTTACATAATAGACAATTCCTTAAATCAAGATATGCACAGGGCAAAAAGATAATACAAATAGTTAACAAGGTAACCATTCGTATGAATGAAGGCATCCAATAATAGATACATTTCAACGGGTTTTACCTTCTGAAAAGCAACTGTTAGCAGTGTCATTAATGCAAGCTGCGCAACAACAGCTTCTGCTTTCTCCGCAGTCCTGTATGTTATTCCTAGACTTATAATGTGTAACATAAGGAAACTTGCATCATTTCTCATATTAAGAGTGCAATAAAATATGATTTTCAAAATAAAGTTGAATGGCACAACAATCAAATATCAAAACTGATGTACCTCCTCAATAAGCTGGCTTGGAAAGCTCAAGCAATGTTCTAAGTTTCCTTCTTTCAGCTTCTGCAATTCCATTAGATGTGATTTCTTTCACAGAGGTAAAAGAAAAATGCATCATCGTGATAAGTATTGCTGAATAAATCAACTGAATTACATATCACTTCTTATTTCCCTAGGGAAACTATGGTATCATGTTAAGCAAAGAAGGATCCTTAGCTATTGTGAGAAAGCACGGGAGAAAATATATTATTGATTAATTGACAATGCTACAATGAGCCCTATATATACACACATAACATATCATACTCCTAATACATATTAGATTAGGGTTATTTACTCCTATTTACACTACTATT